GCATAACACAGGATGAGCTTTCGGCTTCATATATCTCAAATTGTAATAAATGGGCAAAAACAAATAGCAACAAATGTTAGCTTGTTTACCAATAATTTTAAGCCAAGTGTTTGTTTCACACTCGACATCCTCGGCGGTGAGACCACGGAAAGCCAGCAGCGTTCGCAGGTTCGTCTCACCGCTCCGGAAGAAGTCCATGCCGAATGTCTGATGACTGTAGCCGAGACTGTGCAAATACTGAAAGTAAACATGTTGAACAGGAAACATTTGTATTGGAGAATTATTGAACTGTACAAGAAATATTCAAGGATATCAACATACATTATCTGGATCTTTATTAATGAAATATCCGATGCCGTAGATATTTCCTTTCGTGAGCAAATCGTAGCGAGTTAATACTTTGAATACCGTAGTTTTCCCGCTGCTGTTAATTCCGGCCAAGCCTAGGCATTCTCCTGTGTATTATTAAGTTTTTATAAAAATGACACTTTTTGAACAAAGAGTGCAGGAATACATAAAAATGCGAATAGCTCTCTTACCTCTTCTTAGAGAAAAGTTTATGTCTTTCAAACCAAAGAATATGCACCTAAATGATAAGAGGTAGAGCTTCCAGCACCGACTCGCGAGCATTGTCTCTTTTATAGTTTCGATTGCTGTTCAAATCAGAAAGATAGGAAAAATTTCAAATCGGTACTTAGAAAATAAATTCTAATCTAATTTTGTTAAAAGAAAAACATTTAGGGTCTTTCCGACAATGGTAAAGGAACAAACATTAGTTATTACGTGAAAGATTCATACTTTAAACTAACTCACGCTTTTCGATCGTAGTTCTTACATTCTCCTTTTCAGCAAAAACGTCTGGATTGTCATATTTTCTAACTGGCAGAGGATATGCACGCCGATTTTTCATCTCGTTCCATACCTTCTCTAGTTGTTGATACTCTAACAGCCAAACAAGACTCTGTAAATGTAAAGATTTTTTGCAAGTTAATGCCATTCGGTTTACAAAATGCACTCGTTACATTCCAGCAATAATTTATGTATTAAAAGTTACAATTCAGACGGGTAAAGAAAACACAAAGAGTGGATTTGGTTTAATAAAATAGATACCCATATACTTACTGTGAAAACGATTATCTGGGCAGCATTTATCAATAGCGGTACACCCATACCATCCGACGAGATTCCGTAAGGACTGAACCAGTGACCATACCCCATGGACCTGTCTGAATAAGTTTGTAGTTGGTAGTTTGCTTGGTGTATAAATTTTTGTACAAATTGGGAAGCAAAAATATAAAATCTACCGCAACAAACGTCCGAGGGATAACCCAGCGGTTCTTGCGCCTGGCTGCAGAACTGATGATAGTATAAGCACAACTGGTTGTAGCGCGCCGAGTTCGTCAGTCTTTTGATTGATAGTACGAAGATATACATGGGTAGAAACATGCTTAGGTTGTCCACCAAAAAGAGCATTCCATGGTTGACGTCAAGACTCTCGAAAGCGAACTTAAGTAGATGAGCGTACATACCTGTAAAACGAAGTTTCAGTAATGTATTGCCTACAAAGTTTAAATCACATATAGGTACATAATACTTACTAACCAAAATAAATCAAATGCAGTAAAACCACCAAACCGATAGTCTTCTCATGACAGAAGTAGGTCAAGACATATACGAATGTGAAGAAGCTTAATCCACACAAGATTAGTGCTAGTAAGTAGGCAACTAAAAAAATATATAAATTTAGTATCGTATCAAATTATCAATAAAAATCACCTTTTTCGTCTTTACTAACACATTGTTTCGAAGTTATCGAGCGTGTCATCTTTTTCGAGGATGGTAGCGGCGATAATGGTGCCGCTGCAGTGCAACAGTAGGTAGTGGGCCATGTGGTACGTCAGCGTCACCAGCCAGTAGAGCCCGGACGGGCAGCCGGCCTTCACGTGCAGGTAGCGGGTGTACGCCATCCGCTCTCGGTACGGTAGCATCACATCGTTCATCGCCGCCGATAATATTACTAGTATACATTTACTCAATTACAGAAAGCCAACAGAGGATGGAAATAAATGTTTTTATCCATATCATTACTTTTCTCTACATGAATCTTTTGCTCGTAAATACTCCCGGTAGAAATTAAAAATTAAAAAATATAGCATATTTTACTCACAGATATTTTACCATTCTAATGGTGAAAGAATTTTTGAAATCGGCTCAGTAGTTTTTACGTGAATTGAATATATACAAAAATAAAAATATTTTCTCTTTACAATATTGGTATACTAGGATTTTACGACCGCGTCCCACTTATTAACGTAACATCAAATAACGAACCATTTATAAATCGAGTATCGTACAGTATCGAAAAAGTTACACTAAACTTACTATACACGCTAAAAGATGCGAACATATAACAATATAGTTCGCTCTTCGGCTTTTTCCAATCAAAGTAGCCGTAGATGACGCGCATAGTGATGACAGGCTCTAAGGTAGGCCCAAGGTGCTGAGCAGCAATGATATTGCTAAGCAGATTTAGTCCAACAGATGCCGAATGTTTCACAGTGCTGTCATAGTTCAACTTAGCCTGATGATCGTCTACGTATACGTCGATGATATCTCTCGCGAACGACCTCTTCTGCGATCTACATTTGTCGCAGTCGCAGTTATCTATAAAAGCAAATTATCGAATGTCTAATAATTAAGGATGCGGTCTGAACTCAACCTTGTTGATTGGCATCCCTTTGTTATGAACAAATATTCATTTTTTTTAATAATTTAGTGGATAAGTTTATTAATTGAAATATCATGGATCTACTATTGTTTTTGTTTGCTGGATCTATAAAAGTTTAACTACTAAAACATACGCACGGTGACCAGTTGTGTCTTTCGCTTGACGCAGTATGAGATGTGGGTAGGCGATCTTTAGTTGATCTATGATTTCGCCGAGGTCGCCGCTACTGCTGATGTCATAGGTAGCAACAGGCGCATCAACTTCGTTGTACATATTCAGGTCCATTTTTATATTTGCTAGGTAATGTGGATTATTTAACACGTGAGTTAGAATCAAGCAAAGAGCCAAGGGACATAAGAATTGCTGAAACAAGTTCAAAATTATTTAATTTCTTACTTAAGTTATCTTTGCAAAGCCTCGGGTAGTATTTAGTGACTACTCGTACTCTTACGCAATGATCAATTCAACAATCAAACAAACACATTTTTTTATGGTGTCAAATCTTAAATACTCTATAACAGTTAGTGTATTATAAAAAAAACAACTTACTAGCAACATAAATGGCACAAGTTTTGAAAGACTAAAGTCAATCTGCCTCATGAACAATTCTCGCGTCTGGGTCATAAACACTGGCCATTTCGGATCAAAACAGAACTCCTCTTAAAATAAACAAAAGATGAATATTTACTTAAATTGCAGTTATACAACTTTGATGAATGACATTTAATTTCCAAATACTTGGAAAACTATGTCCGTTGAACTCACCTGTCTTTTTTAAAAATGGAACCCCTTCATGGAACGCATCTATGCAGAGGTCGCTACACAGCCTAGGATATCACAGTAATTTAAATAAATATTATTTTTACTTATCATTAAAAAAAAACCTAAAGTGGAAAAAACATTCAAGTTTAATTTTCGTGTGCTCCAAACGTAATAACTTAGCACAAGCACAGCTTAAAGAATCGAACGGCGAATACAATTGTATAATTTCTTTCAAATTTGATGATTGACAAGACAGATTGGTTAAATCTTAAAGGTCAGTTACCGTAAAAACTGATCTGACTTACTTCATAAAAACTTCTTCCATTGTGACAGTACCTATCCTTATTGATTCTATATTGAGTTTGGATCTGCACGTCTCGAGTCTATTAAGGAGACACGCCATGTCGGTCGCGGGAGAGATTTCATAGACCAGCGTGCGCAGAATCCTGTCCCCCAGTTCCGCATCGGGCGACATCTCGCGCATCACTGAGCTGATCATGTGCAAGTCCGGTAGCTGTCGTGTTGTTATGGACACACGAAACCCCGCGCCTAAATTGTCCAAGATTAGTGGAAAAGTGTCTTTATTGGTCAAATGAATGGAACTGGTATCGTAAATAACCAAAACTTTGGCTGACGTGATATCTTTAGTTTACACATTTACCAATAGCTTTCTTCAGATACTCCGGCGTTGCATAGCATCGCAATATGCCTGAGTGGAGACCCAGAATACGATCGCCCAAGATATCCGCCTCCTCCATATAGTGCGTCGACATGATCACCGTCCGATGTCCTCGGAGTGTCTTGAAAAGATCAGTACAAATAAAAAATATTATTAGAATAAAAAAGCTGGTAACACGAATTAAACAAATTCAGAAGATATATTCTGCTCTGACAATGGAGGTTGGTGGTAAATGCTCACCAACAATATATCCCAGATCTCCCTCCTCGCTTCAACATCGAGGCCGGTGGTGGGCTCATCCAACAGCAGCAGGTTGGCGTCACCGCACAGCGTGCAGCCAACCTGCAGCCGCCGCAGCATCCCGTGCGACAGCTTCTCCGGCGTCCACGTATCCTTAGAATAAAGATCCAACTGCTTCATAAGTTCTTCTGCGTAATTCTGCGCCTTCTCCATCGAATCACCCCTCAACTGCGCAACAAGAAAATATTATCTCTATATGCAAGGATTTTATAAACTCATCGGCAGTAAGTAAATCTTATTGTAAATATTTGTGCTACTTACCATGCAAAAAAAAACTAAATGCTCCCGTACAGTCAAATCGGGATACAAAGTATTCATTTGAGGACAAATGGCAACTTGACGTCTCAAGTCTACTTGACGTGTCAAAGTGTCAAGTCCGTTGATATAAACATTACCCGACGTCTGCCTTAATAACCCTAAAACAAAATTTTCAGTAAAGAATAAATCCATTATAGTGGTAGTTTTGTCTCCTTAGAATTAGAAAGCTCATTAACAGTTCTTTGCAAGAAGCTTTTAAGGCAAATAATACAGTTTGATATATTTAGGTAGTGAAGTAATAATCATAAACTACCTGCAATAATTGATATAAGAGTTGACTTGCCCGCGCCGTTGTGTCCTATAATGACGGTGATCTCGCCCTCGTAGAATGTAGCTGATATATTATCGACTGCGTATATCGTTGCTCCAGTGTTTGTTCTGTACATCTAGAAAAGCGTGTTCTTCTAGTCCTAATTTTAACATCATCTAGTGTCCTTTAAGCGTCAATAGCCTAATGATTTGTGGTACAGACTTTTGATTATGCGGTCGATGGATCAAATCCCGCCATTTTATTGTCGTGAAACATATCCTAGCATAAGCATAGAGCTTAGTTGGAATGGTTAAAGGAAATATGAATAAATTAACAAAAATCTACTAACATTTTTGATTAAAAAAAGCAATTGAACCACACAGACAATGTTAGAAGAATTACAATACCTATTAAAAAACCTTCTCAGTAGGCCTAAATGGAGATACTGAAGCGAGTATAAAGTGAAAATATTAACCTTTTGTAGATTAACAATCTCCACAGCTTCTAACGCTGGTTCTGGATGTTTCTGGAAGTATTTCTCATATGCGGGGTCTTGGTTTGTCTTCAATTCATTATCACATTCAGGCATTGGCGGTACCACCCAATAGTCTTTCTGAAGTAAGTCAAATTCTTTACCTATCCTCCTAGAGTTCTTGCATTAGATTTTTTAAGAGATAGATAATGTAAAAGGAAACGAAGTTGTTTTTACCTTGTCTAATTTAGCAATTAATCAGGGCCCCATTCACCTATTAACTTACAAGTTAGTACTAAAGGAGCATGGGATGCTATTCGCGGACTTTGAGGACAGTAATATTTGGTAAAATCGTGTACCTGCCAAAGAAAGTACCAAGGCCTTTGAATTCCAAACTTCCTCGGCCGTACCAACTCCAAGTAGAAGGTGAGTAAAAAGCACAATATGATCTGAAGAAGTTGCATAATAAAAGAGAGTAGTACGCTGCCACTTCTGCTTCCGTCGTTGAAGCGGTGGAACTCTCCGGACCACGAAGAAAAGTCTATACCACTACCTAAAATACGTGCATGTAACAGGTTACATTATAAAATAAACTGACCACGTAAATTTGTGGCAATGAGTTTGTTAAAATAAATGTTAACTATAAAACCTTACATTTTCAGAGTTAGTCGCTTAATTTCGTTTAAAACCATAGATAGCAGCGAAGCATAGATTTATGGATGTAATAAAATGCAACAGAAATATAAAAAATATTTACCTATTTCACTAGCTACGAATATCTGATGAATAAACCATAGGAATGGTGCGTGAGGCATAAATCCTTTTACGATCAACCCTATAAGAGAAAAGCTTCCAACTTCAAAAACAATGGCAGGGAACCACAAGGCGAGGTACGCCAACATTGAAATAGATACTGTATACCAAACTGAAACGAATACAATGATTTGGTAAAGGAGGTGAAGATTACATAATAAGTCGCTTCATATAGATTTTCATACTAAGTCTACGCTATTTGCAATTCGAAATACAGAGGTTGGTCTTAATAAAATTATTGATCACATTTCATACTAACTAAAGGGTCAATTATCTAATCATGTTAAGTTATACTAAAAAATTATAAGTAAAATTAAAAAAAATATATTACTCACTGACGACGTAGCTTTTTTTATGGAGAAAGAAATAGAAAGTTTTGAAATGGGCCCAGTAGTTTTTGAGTTATTCCAAAACTTACAAAAATACAAATCTTTCCTCTTATAATATTAGAATATAAAAATAATATTAGAAAACTAGTAGAACGTGTGTGTATACAAGTAAAAGACATTAAACGGAATGATTCTAGTATATGTCTCACTGGTCTTCGTGATGTAGCTGAGGACGAATGCGAATGCGATTACTGTCATGTAGTGCAGGAACCAGCCGGTGAACGTGATTAAAGGGTTTGCCTCGATCTGCAGCAGCAGACACACTATACTACTTCCTACAGCCATCATTAGCGCTGGAGGGAGTGAATTCACTAACTGCGACAGACAGATCATCAGCGATGATGCGCCCGCCATCTCGGATATCTCCTGCAAGAAGAAATTATTGAAATAAAACTGGTAGTAAACACTTGGAATCATTTGAAAAAGATTTCTCTGTTATATCGTCAATTTAAAACGTTATTTAGGACTTTAGTTATTTAATTGTAGAAGAATCATGTGTACGTAAATTGGACGTACAAAATAACCGATTACGGTGTACTCTGGTAGAAAATAAAGTTGAGAATAAACAAGTAAATGTAGCAATAAGGATAGCATTGAAACCAGTAAAATTTTTAAAGAGGTCAACGAGAAAATGTGTAATCCCTGATAACAGGCATATTTGTAACAAAATCTTCATTAAATATGACTTCATGAACTGTATTACCTGTATTCCTGTTGTTTTGTCTTCGTTCATCCGCAGCATGATTTGTGTGAAAGACAATAAGGGAGCGATGAAAGTAACAGCGATCAAAGAAAAGAATACGATATCGGATAACGCACGGTAATTGATTAGTGGATTAGCGTTACCCCGAAGTTGCTTCATTGTTATATTCTGAAATTACAGAAACTAAGTATATTCAATAAAGTTTAAATAAAGCAATAACAATGGTTAAAGGTATAGATCGCGTAATTGTGGATTCCATTTCTTCTCTTATTTCCGTATTGTTTAGTTACAAATTACTTTAGAAAATATAGTACAGGTTATTACAGATTTTTGATGGAAAGAACAATTATCGTAAACCCACCTGCAAATCTTCGTCTGTGTTGGCTTTTATCTTTATAAAGCTAGAATCTATAGCCCATTGTAGCCGGAGGAATGATTCACTTAGTTCATCTGGAAATTAAAATTCAATGATATAATTTAATAGGTTTCACCCACGCCATCGTCTGCGTGGAATAAAAAAAAATAAGCATGTAACCTATGCTTTCTTCTAGTCTATGCTCTACATCTATGTCAAATCTAGAACCGTTCAGTTTTTTAGGTGGCAAACTCTAACAAACAGCCGATGGATGGATCTAAACTTTCACATTTATGATATTAATAACAATTTAGGATTCTGTCTGACGTTTTCTTCGATGAGATGCTTAAAATAAGCATAACTTAGGTCAACAATGAAATTGCTTGCTATCCTTTTTTAACGCAAATAAAATAGTTACTTAAATATTTACAGAAACATACTTGATGATCAAACTCACCTAAATGTTCATAATCCCTTCTTCGTGACATGACTGTGAGGTGGTGCGGATTTCTTAAATGTATTGTATAATTAAGATAATCCGGTAAGTATTCACCATCCAGATTCTAAAAAAAAAAACAGTAAGTATACAAAAAAAAAAAAAAACCACAAAACTCGAATAAGTAAAATTGGATATAACTAAGCTTCTATGATTACAATGGACATCTCCGAAACTATTTCAACAGCACGATGTAATGAAGCATAATTATGAGCAATTTAATTTAACGGCGGAAGGTCGCAGATCTCTCACTTATATTTGTAATACCTGTATATAAAACTTGAATTACCTCAAACACAACAAGACCATCGACGGAATGTAAAAGGTTCAATTCTTCTTCGGATTTTATTTCGTGCGATCTCATGTAACTGTGCTCCATTTTATCTGTTTCAAAAACATACGTTATTGATCTAATTTACTTTTTAAAAGCATTTAATCAAAGTACTGGTTAATCGAACATACCTGGAATGGGTTCGTATGGCGGTATATACAGGGTGTCCGCAATTTTTTCAATTAGCCTGCTCGTGAGTTCTGTGTTCGGTGTGTAGACAAGATGCGGCGCCTGCAATGTTCAAATTATTTGCTTAACGTTATTTATAACTACTTAAGACATTACCGTGAACAGTTTCACGGCTAGTCGACCCAGTGGAAAATAAATCTATGAGTTGCTTTTGTTTTGGGCACGTAACTGATAACAAAATGTATTTTGCACTATGAACAAATGTAAATATTGTTCTGCGTTACGGAATCATAAAGTCAGCATTTATTGAAAGCATACTTATTACCTAATTAGAAACATATTTAGAAAAATGGCAATTTGCTACGTTAAGGTTCCCGCCATTCCTGGTTCACAGTGTCTTACCGTTGCAGGAGATTTGAGCGCACTCTCTTCTATGTTCCCCGTACCGCTATGAATTCCAATCAGAGGTAATAACAAGAAGAGTGGAGTGAACAACTCTAGAATTGTCATGCCCATGTGTCGCTTCCTTATTATGTAATGTTTCCACATTAGGACTGTAAATACATTCATATTGTCCAAAGTAAGTATGTAATTTTGATTGTATTTATCAAATATGAAGCGTAACCATAATTTTTATAACATAATTCCTCTGTGTTGTTATTGACAAGAAATATCATTTAATCTGTTAATAGACAGTGACGTAAATTAAGAAACAATGCAAAGGGTACAAGTAAAACCTCTACGAGTTAGCTTTATTGTGCGTTTGCGTAAACATCGAAACATCTGTTTATGCGACATCTCTCTCATTATCTTTACAAAAAGAGAGACAGCATTATGTTTTTCAATTTGTTTACGGACCTTTCGGTAGTGGAAACTGAATTACTATTACAACTTCTTTTCTCTTCAATCTGACAATTATCTTTAATCTGACAGATAGCTGTGACGAAAAAATTGGTTGAAAATAAGGAAATTTCCTATAAAATAAGTAAGGATAATTAATAAACGATAGGAATATGGCACGTAAAGGACAAGTATCCATACAAGAAAATATAGAAACGAATGAGGAATTCCAAGAATATTTGATACATCACATGGATCAGCTTATATGTATGTTTTAGTACACGACGACTGAGTAAATGTGAGTTTTCACTGCCGAAACACTTATAGGAACACAGTAAGAGACACAGGGAGGTTAGAAATAGTTAAGCGCAGGATTGCCTATGACTCCCCCCACCGTCTACCCTCAACTCACGCATGACGTCACGAGGCAAGCGGCAGCGCGAGTATGTTTTTTTCGGCAGTGGATATTCACAACAATATAAACTCTAAATACTATATTACACACTAGCTTTCGCCCGCGACTCCGTCGGCGTGGAATTAAAAAAAAACAAAAGTGAGTAGCCTATATGTTCTTCCAGACTGTCCTCTACATCTATACCAAATTTCATCGAAATCCGTTCAGTCGTTTAGGCTACAAACTCTAACAAACATCCATCCACTATCCGTCCATCTGAACTTTCGCATTTATAATATTAGTATGATAGTTATTAGTTCACACTGGTTTCATTATTAATCTTGTGTTACACAGGTATGGAAGTGTACTCAGAATTTTGTGGCCCGTGCCTGGCCGCGACTAACGCTATCAGAAAGGGCAAACTAGAAATAGGCCAAGATAAAATAGCTATGGGAAAGGTAATCTCTCAATATACTATCTGCAACAAAGGATAATTCAACATTAACAACAATTACTTTTTTAGGCAATGTCTGACAACATCGAAGTCCTCGCCAGGTTTAGAGGCAAGAGCGAACCAGTCTTTCTCTTCATCGTCGTAAGTATGACTTTTAAGAAATCTCTTGTCCGTCTTGATTTATGCAAAAGGGATAAAAACCATCTCACATTACTATATATAGTCTTCTTAGAGTTAAAAGGTAATTTACAGAAAGGTAAATTGACGCGAGCGATGTTCGGCGCGAATGGCATCGAACTATGCCGCATCATCGAGGAGGAGCTGGCCTTCATGGAGCAGGAATTGGTGACCGGCATAGAACGCCCTAAGCAGCCCATTGAAGAACTTCTACCTGTGGAATCTGTACGTTATATAATGCCACTCTTAAGTACCACACTCAAATAGCTCTAGTATCTATTCCAATAGAATTCATATTCCTTAAAGAAGAGAGCTTTGGCTCTTCAAGACCGGTAAAAGAGGCACTAGCCCTCTTTACACATACACTTATGAATAAAAAGTTATAGGTAATATTGCAAAATTATGAACGTTAATACAGGAAAAGATAGAAATGGAATTAAAACAAGAAGAAGAAGCACATCAAGCGAGAGAACGCATACGCATCCTAACGCTTGCCGCGCGCAAGAAGAGAGTGGCAGAGAGGATGGCAAAAAACCTGACGCAGCTTAACTACATCATCTACTGGCCTCACTGTCATCAGGCGCACGTCGATCTCTACGAAAAGTGGGATCTTATTAGTACGAATCCTTAAAGTATATTTTAAGTAGTCCCTAGTAGTCTTTAATATTTAAGCATAAGTCATTTTTTACCATTACAAACACAACCTAGTCTGATGTTTTGGGTTCTTGAATGTAAAGCGACGCCAAGATCATCACGAATTGACTACCGATTAATTGGGACAAATAATTAAGCCAGGCAATAACATCATGATTTCAGAATTAAACAAAGTTTTGAGTGCGCAAAGTTCAAATATTTCATGATTCCATTCTCGGAGACCATTCTTTGCTGGTCGCTGGCTTCCTGAAAGATGTTTTACCAAATCTGTCACGATTTCAGCTAGTTTATATGTAGACTTTGTGTAAAAGTTTGATTTCACATTAGATATTCAGGTGGGCGCTAAGGAAACGATACAGATGACGGAGGAGATGGTGCCCGAGGCGCTTTACATGAGTGACGTGGAGCCAAATGATGCCTGCGTACATGCACTGCTCTCCGGCGAAGTTCTCGTTGTGCTTTTTAAGATGTTCGACTCGGATACGAGGAACTTTGTCAGTACGTGTCTTATTGATAATGTTTTTCAACTCATTACACGAACATCCTGACGTATTCAAGACCTAATCTTTCTGACAAGTAGTGGAAGATATTTTTGGTTTTCTGTAACGTTTACTGTAAATATACGAGTAATAATAATGTTTGATTTCAAATCAAAGAGCTACTCCGGTACACTTTGTACGAGGAGATCCCTGTGCCAAAGGAGGACGTGCCACCGGAGAAGCAGGTGCCGTTAGTGCCGGCTTACGAACGCTACGCCGCCGTGAGCAAGACGGCGCGCGAGGTTCGCCGCGACCGCTATAACGCCAAACTAGAGAAACTGGTGAGCTAACAATACTGTAAACTAACTCTGGCTTTTGACTGTTGTAGAACTTTTTTAAATCACATTATCATTCTTTTTTTCATTCTGTTTAAGACAGCGGAATCAAAAAAAGTTTTAAACAAATTAAACATAAAAAGTAGATAATGAAACAAAATCTCGACTACAGACCGAATTTACATTATTATAAATTATTTTAGCGATTAGAAAAAGAAGAACAAGAGAGACTGGCAGCAGAACAGGCACGGCTAGCACGGGAGGCAGAAGAGGAGAGATTGTTCGAAGAGAAAAAACGGAAGGAAGAAGAGAGGATGGCGAGAATACAAGCAGGGGTAAGACTTTTAACGGAAATAATTGATACGTATCAGGTAGTATAAGAGGAAGCTTCATGCGGCGAAATTGTAATTATAAAGAAATACCAACTATAGATGCTTAAAATTATCAATAACAAGAACATTTGTAACTCGATAGTTGCCAGCTGAGCCGGAGCCGGAACCTGGTGAGGAAGGAGTAGAAGGAGAAGGTGTAGAAGACGAAGCTACTGAGGAACAAGTTCCGGAAGTTTTGGAGGAAGTAAATAAGACATTATTTTTTTATTACGCATAATTCTTAATACATGTTTATAAATAGGCCAGTTTGGAATTCCTTTTCAGTTATTTTGCAGAAATCATGTGCAGTCTAATCATTCGTATGCCATCTGTTCCTGTGTTAACTAAATTTCCTCCTTTTTCAGGAGCACGAAGATCAAGAGAAGGTGGTTGAAGAAGAGGAGGTATTCCACTCCGACGTATCTGTGGAGGGGGAGGACTATATTCCTCCGGGAGGGCTATTCGTGCCGGGACTGTACGCGCCGCCAAACGAATTGGCAAAGGCTAATGGTCTTGCATTCTTCTTTCCTAAAGTAATTACCTTATCGATTGAAAATTAAAGAAACAAAAGTTCTTTGAATGTAATTGTAACTACAAGGTATGATTTTCCTTTTTCATGGGCAGGTGGTGCAGCAGATCACGACGCTGGAATCTGAGCATCTTCCGCCACATGTGCTGGTAATGTTCTCCGTGGATAAGCGGCACGAGGTCCGCGATGCTATGAAGCAGTTCCCAGGAGACATCATACAGGTCATTGCAAACACATAGTTCCGAAGCCGGTCCTTATTGACCTAAATTTTAATTGGTCAATAACATTGCTGGGTAATACCACAACCACACAGTAGTCTGCTGTATGTGTGCCGTTGTAATAATTCTAAAATACTACAATAACTTGGAACACATGATACTGTTTTGTTTAACAGTCTGGTATCTTTATGGGCGAGGATCCTTACGCTATGGAGCATGTTGCTTTCACCGTAAAGCAGTACGATCAGATGACGAGGCTGCGGAAACAGTAAGTCAATACACTAACTTCGACTTTTTTTGAGTTAATCGCAAATAGACGAAACATGGACTTATTAGTTCTTAAAGATTTAATTTAAACGTGTAAGTGTTGCAGTGAATGTACAACTTAAAAATCACCAACAGCCGTGACCGTTTAGCGCTAATGGTGTCTCGCAAGCGTAGTCTTGCCCTGCTGACCTTGGCGGGGCTGAACCCATGTTATATCAGTAGTGATGTAACGTCAGGAGAAAGAGACTGCCTCACCATGTTCCCCGTTGGATATGGTGATGAATATGTTGAGGAGGAGAGTGTCGTTGAAGAAGAACAAGTTGTGGTGAGGATTTCTGTTTTATTTTATAGCTAAAGCATTTGCTGTAGATCATAGATTCTAATGTTCTACTCGTATATACACAGTTGTAATTTTGTTCTCTCTGATAACGTAGCTCTCATTATAAATTACTATTTCAAAGTGACATTTAACGGTCACTTTGTTTCAGTCTCTCCTAAAACATAGATATTACTGAATTCTCTTGATACTATTGACATTATTCATCATTATTGAAGCGGCGGATAGTTACATATTTTCTTTTCTAGTGTGTTGCGATAAGTTTTCTTTTTTAATTTTAGAACATTTTACAGGAAGTTATACCACCATCGGAACCGGAACGAGAACCAGAGCCAGCTGCGGCACCTAAACCTGAGGTATTTTTTAAAATTTCCTTGAATATTTTTATATGAATAGAAATTTTTTTGTTATAAATACTCATTTGTTTTTCAGAATGAAGATGAAGACGAAGAGGGACAAGGTGACGAATAGACATTTGTTTTTTATTTCGGCGCGGACGAGATTCCGGGCGACAGTATGTAGTAACTTACGCCAAAGACCTGAATTTGTGCAATTTCTGTCAATTTTACAAACGTACGACTGTTTTTATTGGATATTATTTGGATGAAATAATACTACAAAGTAGCTGAAGCAATAATTTTTATTTTTTAAGTAACACATAAAAACAAATAACAATTTTCTCAATTGTTTATATTAAGGAATGGCTTGGGAATGTAAAACTTATAATAAATGTTTAAAATAATACTTTAAATTAGTACATTTGAAAAAATGAAGAACTACTTAGATAATAAAAAACAAAGCAACAAATATTTCATTTATTGAAGCATTGACAGAAAGGTAGCATTATTTAGGCTTATAGCTAATAGCTCTTATTTTAAAATATACAAAATACCATATTAATACCTATTATTTAACACCTCAATAAAATGGCGGGAAATATGTCATTTTTCCCAAAAGATGATTTTTTAAAGATTGTAAAATTTAGCTTTGGTTTCGAATAATACGTGGTTTTGTACTTTTCCCTTCATATTAGCTAGAAATATACAACATTAGAACCGGTTTATAACTACTAATAGAACCATCTTGATACTTGATAGAGATGTCAAATTAACAGTCTAATAGAAAAATACGTACAAAGTTTTATGAGCAAAAGTTGCGATTGAGCTCACATTTAATGAATACATTTAAATATAGGCTTTATACAATTCGCAATAAGGTTAATTTTATAGTTCTCATGCCATGTTAGTAGATATAGGTGTAGGAGAATAAGGGCCTGTCCCACCACTGGCTGATGACGCTCAGACAGTTTAAAATTGACGTCACTGTCAGATAAAGTATGAAAATCCATCACATATTTTACACGTTGGATTGTTATCAGAAAATACAATTTGGTGGGACAGGCCCTAAGTCTCATAGGTCTACTCTAGTTCTGCACGAAATGTACGGATATATGGCAAACATGTTATTTAATTCATTTACTTATAGTAAATTATACGTTTTTATGTAACTAAACGTGAGATCTTTTCATTTTTTATGTTACGCATCTGTATTTGATAACTGCTAAGGTAAATTTTGAGTTTTTTTTTATAACATAAGATGGCAAACGAGCAAGCTGCCAACTGAATCCGCCAAAATGGCGAAGCGACCGTTGGCCATAGACATCAGCAACTGCAGATGCGTTGCCTACCCTTATCCGACGGAGGAAACGCACATAAAGAGGATATTTCCTATTCCTATGCATCTCCTCCGTCGTTAAATCAACTTCCCCTTCCCATCCTCTCATAAGAAAAGGGTGGTAAAGAGAAAGGGACTTAAATTAGGTAAGAAAACCCTTGGCCCTGGTCTATTTTGATGATTCTTTTTTACAATGAAACACTAGAAATAAGAATGAATTAGTGTTAATTGTCATATGTTACAGTGAAAGGGTAAATAATTTACAGATTGATATAATACTTAAGAAAACCACCCGTATTAAAATCTCGGTGTTCAAGATCGAGCCAAATCCGTCATCTCTACTGACCCCTTAGAGTTGCAAGCATGTTGTTTTTAAAGTTTCACAGCTATATTAACAGTACAGCGATAAAACAAAAGTAACCTGACTAAAATAGATAACCCGATTGTGGAACTTATTGTTAATGGAAAATCGATGTATTCTCTATCAGGATTTTAGGATACTTCGCATGCGATAAAAAACAATTGCAATAAGGTTCAATTTCCTTTACACCGCTAGATTTATTATCTTGATTTCAAATTAATCCACGCGTATCAAACGTTATCTATAAGTGATATTATTAAATGATAAAACGTCGAATGTTGCTGATAAATAAAACATAATAAATTTACTTCTTAAAGTATTAAAATAATAAAATCTTGTTTACAGTCAATGAACTAAAAGAACAGAAATATCGTCAGTGGTTCAGTGAAAAAGCGACCTAACAGTCATTAATATTGTTGGCCGGCATTAGGGTATTCCCCGCAATGATTACAAACGAGGAAATTAATTGGTAAAGATGGGAAATACCACAAAACAGATTTTTTAACTCATATGGAGCTTTGATAGCACCTATGAAAGGTTTTTTTTATAAAACGCGTTGTAAGCATTACATTGTTATCAGATGCATGCAATTATAAAATTTTGATAAGTTTGTTCTCAATATACAAAATTGATGTAATATTTTTATCATGGTACGATTCAATATGACGATAAATATAATTTTGTTAATTAAATCCCAAATATTATTATCTTTGTATACAAATACATAGAGCAAAGGAAAGTGTTACATAGAACATCATTGTACAGTGTGCAAAAAAGTTTTAGTCGTGAAAAATAGAAATGTCCAATCAAAGTAATGAAGCTTTGTGATCGCTGTACAATGGTCAAAGGGAAGGGTAAAAATCAACACTTCGGGGCTCGAAGCCGACCTTAAGTAAGGAGGTGACTAGGCCATAGTCCCGACCTTAAGTATGGGGCTGACTAGGCCATAGACAATCACATAAAATATGTATAGTCGCGGATACTGGCGGTGTTCTACTTCAAAAATTTTGAAACGAGATGCGGAATATAAATCAATACAACGCAGCTTATAAATGTGTCTACGAAAAAACGTCGTTTACTGATACTGGGCTAGTTTCTTTTTATTATTATACCTTTGTTTGCACCACTCAGTGATATCTTAATAGTTATTTGTAGGTGCGGAGTCTCATTGCGATAAACAAAGCAATTTTTCCCGAAGTGGAACACCGCGAATTTCGGAGTACATATTAAATTCGAAAATCACATTGGTACATGACGGGTTTCAAAGCCTGGACATGTAGATTACAATTCAAGTACTTTAACCTCTGAGCCAACGACGCTCTTATTACGTAAAACGTCGGGAAATTCGCATTCCAAACGTGTGACTACTTTGCTGCCTTAGTTAATAATTTGTCTCACAATTTACCTTAGCGTCTCAACACAATTTTAATCATGAATTTCGAAGCACACAGTGTACCGATTTATTTGGCCTTTGGTTATTGTCTATGGCAAGCCGTGGAATTCGAAATCAGTGTAGAGTTGTTCCACTCGTCGGTACACTTCGTCACAGGATTGCAGAGTTTGAGGCAGAATGATCATCGCTTCGGTAAGTCTGTCCTCGGTACCGAAGATCTGGAAATGTGGACACATTTGAATAAAGAACAAGTTGGGAAAACGAGCGAGAGAGGGAATGTAACTTTGACTCTCTTTCTCTAACAGTCTCTGACCTGACCCTAAGTCATCGAGTACTTTTAAAAAAATACAGACGAAATAATAACCTCCTTTTGGAAAGCCGGTTAAAAACACCTTAAACATAGCAACTTGCTTAAACACTCTATCACGAATATTTACGTCACAATAGTTAGAATGTATTGGTAACGTCATCCACAAAACACGTGTGGGACTTCTCTTTACTAATAATACGAGTATAAAGTAGTATTGAAATAACTCAAAAACTACTGGTTTGAAGTAAAAAAACTTTTACATCTAAAAAGCTATGTTTTCATTGAGTAACATAGGCATAACATAACATATATTTTATGTTTAAAATTAACGCGAAGTAGCGAGCAACTGCTAGTTATCTAATGCAAATTTTGTCGATGACGCTACGAAAACGTTTTTACTAATATTCGTAATAAACCCTCTGAATATAGAAACGCTGCTGATTGATTAAAATGGTATCATCTAATTGGAAAAAAGTTAAATAGATTAAAACTATAATCGGTTATAATTATTTTTTTCGTTATTTTTTACGGCGCAAAATTTTATTGCATACATTTAAAACTTGTGGGAAACAAATCAAATCGAATTACGATATTGTTCTGTTCAATCTATAACAAAGGAGTAAATGAGTTAGCAATGCATATGGACTATGTAAATATGTGTTCAAAGATAGAATCAGATGTGTGTTCATTTTAAAACAATGCAGTACACTCACTGACACAATTAAATGAACCATTGTACAATGCAGTGCAAAATGGTTAGCAATGTAAATGATATTACCTTGAAACAGACATTATTTTGCATTAGTTTTCAAGAGTACTCTTACTCTTAGATGTTACGGGTTTCCAAGAGTATTTTTTTAATTAATGCAATATTAGGTTGCTAATCAGTATCTGTACAGTTGTATTTGAAATTTTATTATTGATTTTTTACTGATACTAGATAAAAAATGCCTTATAAAATTGATAAAGAAGTGGTTAAGTGAATTATATTTTTTATATCATAGCTTTGTATTTTATTGTTATAATTTATTCTATAAGATTAAATTTAATGTACTTTTGTTAAAAAATGCCAAACTGGCAATTATCATAAAAAATAACTGGTTTTAAACAGCTCTTTAGTCCAGAAATAGAATTTACTCATTGTTAATCCTTGACAGTAATTTGAACATGAACTAACCTTTTTTAATAAATCAGGTCTGTTGGGGAGTGCATGCATTGCCAGTGTTGCCGCTTTCCTTATGTACCAAGGATGGAATTCAGCCAATGTCTCATTATATGAACCCTGGCAGGTTGTACATGTGTTTACAGCATCATCAGAATCACTTAGACGCTTCAGAAATAATCTAATGAAATCTGAAAGATGTTTTTTTTAATCCATCATAAAATATCATTAAACAAAGTTGACATAACTTTGAACATATTACCACCAACATTTTTACATCAAACATTTCATATACTTAATTAAATTAAAGATTCAAGTATTTCTTTTAATGTAAAGGTAAAAAATACTTGTAGTCTATGAATTTTACATACCCAATCCTCTATGTAATCGGAGCATGGTCCTTGAACCAGAAACAAAGCCATTCTTTTCGTGTAAACTAGTCTCCTTTTCGTACTTCATCATTTTCTTAAAGGACTCGTAATAAATAGCATCGTCACCCTCTCTGTGTTTTTCCATCACCTTTATTTTGCTCTTTACATCACTACTCACAAATGAGAACACTGACCCGATCAGGTTTAAGAACCTAAATAATAGACAAACAATTAATTACAGAACATATGGAACACAAATAAACAGATATTTTTTACGCTCACTTCACTAGCTCATTGTATCCGTCTATATAAGCCTCTATTACTACATCGTCTTCTTCTTTTAGACTCCTTTGGAAGCTCTGATGAACGTAATGCAAATCTAAGGTATTTTCATTAGACATTTCTTTTAAAACTACTTTTTAAAATAATCTAAAAACTGGGTAAACACCTTGCCCACAGGCTTTTTACTTTCAAACTGACACGACTGACAGTGACAGAAACTGATAAACTGATAACATTGACAATTTTTCACAACGTCATCCAGCATTCATCAGAAATTGCGTGAAAAGGAAAATA